GAGCGTGATTGGCAATATGAAAATGTCTGAGAGTGAAGAGAAATGGATGCAAGCCTCATGGAATGATGTTAAGGCTTATGGTGAAGCTTTGCCACTTTTTGGTGTTCGCACGACGAGTGGTGCAGAAGGTGACAACCATGGTTTACCTGGGGTGGTGCCCGAACTCAACGCGTGTATGAGTCCTTACGTGCATTTTGCCTTCGGTCGATTGATGTATGCACCAAAAGATTGACATTAGCTGTGGATTGGAAAGCTAAGCGATTTGACGTAACATCTCACGCTTTGAAATCCATGAATCAAGAACAAAGCTACGTAGGAAAGTTAACTGTAATGCCTGCTGCTCCCCCAAACTTTCTCGTCTTTGACGCACTCGGAGCATCAGCAAGAGCAGGACGTGCCACACTATATGAAGTCAATATGCCTTCAGGTCAGTGCTCGAGGTGTGTTGGTAAAATTCCGTGCCGGCATGTCTAAGCTGTTATTTTCCGGCTTGCGTCCGATAACAAAGCAGCGCCTTTGCTGTACAGACCGCAACAGTACTTTCACAGCGCGTACTTGGTAGCCAACTTGCTTGCCGCTATGTCAACCGCAGCAAGTCGAATGCCTAGTGATTTCTTATATGAAGCGAGTCGAGAGATCAGACCGCCCCCATATTATCGACAAGCTGGCCAATCACTTCAGCGGAAGACTCAAAAGCCTGACCACAGTAGGGGAAGTAAGCGAAGGCGTAACAGGGGTGAATGTAATGCAAAAAGGTCGACACCTCGCTTAGATGCCCAAATCAATGCATCGTCAGGTGATGCTTCTTCCGATGACGATGAGGGGCCTGCTATCGCTGCGTTTTTCGCCTCGCAATTGAGTGCAGCAGCCGTGAAAAGAAGGCAACAATACTCCTGTGAACAATGTGGTAAAACTGGTCACAATATCAAGACGTGCAAGAATGTCAATAAGGAATACGAAGAAGCCGGTGTCCCGATCAAACCCGGTAAGTATCTTGTCGGCGAATGTCCATTCACAATCTGTGGAATTCGCAGTGGATACGAAGGTGCAGTTGATAGTTAGATAACTAAGTATTTTCTCCCATTGCAATGCTAGAAGAACGAACCATTTGGCGGTTAAATCTTGATTTTAGTTGTCTAACTCCCACGGTCACATTATTTTCATGTGGAAGTTGCCAACATGTCGGGTGTACCATCTTCGATAACCCTGAGGAACGTTTAACAACACGGAGTAATGTGCGAGGTTGGCAATCAGCATGAAAAAAGCATTGGATACATTTGTGTAGCAGCTCGAAGTACTCGGATCATGTCATAAATCGAATCATCGGACAGATACATAAAGCCATTAGCAAGCGCAACGAACCCAATACAATTCGGGGCTTATGTACCTCTGTACTTTCCTTCTCCAGGCACAGATCACCCCACACACATCTCTTGGTTTAAACAGCCCTGGGCATTGTTACCATACCGCGCACTGCCAAATCCCTCGGTGCTATTGGTGGCGGTGCGCGGCGCCCAGAGAATCAGAGAGTGAGAGAATGGGGGGGGGGGGTTACCTTTCTCATGTTGAAGCTATCATAACTACCAATCGCTGTATTTGTGATCCTTGCTGATAAATCGATTTGTTGTTGTGGTCCTTGGCAATAAATATCCTCATATCGAACGCGAGCATCAAGATAAGATCTGCTTTGATGCGTGGTGCTGTTGAAAGCGAGTGGAAAGGCGCACACATTTGATGGAGATGTGGACAAAATTTGCAAACTACGACACGCATAAAAATAGCAGCTACCGCAATCAGAGCAGTCGCTAAAATCATGCCAGT